CAGACAACCTAACGTTCAGAAAACTGGATATAACTAGCGCGATAGCCTCATAGTTAGAACAATCGATTTCTCGCTCCCTTTAAACATCGCGACATTGACCTCACTTCCATTCTCATGGGAAAGGTAGAGATATCCATAATTTAAGAAGGAAGGCATCGAACGTTTTGCAAATCTAGATGCTCGAAATCTGATTAACTCCTCAGGAATTCAATTCATGACGTAAACGAGTTCAACTTAAGAGGTAACGAGGCTCTGTGAATATCTTTTGTGGTTGGTACATCTGCCCGCCATACATGGAAAGACAGATCAACAGTATTAAGCACCTTCTAAACAGAGACAGTGAAATTAATTTAAAATTGTATTATACTACATACCATACAACGGACACTATAAGTGTAAAACACATGTAATGCACAGTACATTCTGAGAAGCTTAGAGGACAATATCGCGCTGTACGTTAAGTTAAAGGATGCAACAATCTGCAAAGGTCACCTGAATTACAGATTATAAAATATAATATAGCATGAAATGGCAATGGCAATATTAAAAAATAAAAACATAAACCTTGCTTAAATCAGAATAAAATGTAGGTAAAACCATTACCTAATCCGCCAACGTAGATGTGATTGTCTTTGACTGCCAACCACTCTCCTTTGAATCCCTTCGCCTGCTTTCCGTCTCCGTCAGGCAGAACTACCCATGGCAGCACTACGCTGTCGTTTTCGATCCTGTACAGAATGCCAGTTCGATCGTCGATGCTGTATAGTCGACCATTGAAAGTTTTGAGGTCTGACAATTCCATTGCCCGACCGCCGTGGGCATATCCACCGTTCAGTTGAATCACATTCTTATCCCAGACAATTTTCACCTCCTTGTGATCATTGCTGACAAACAGCTTCCCATGCAACATGTAGCTACGCCATAAGTGTTTACCGCTTTTGGACTTGCTATTCGTGTCGAGATCGCTGACCGCACCGATTTTATACCATATTCCATCTTTGGATGAAAACGGAGCACTTAGTGGATAGGTGTCATTGTAGCTTTCGAAGTAGTTCATATCATCGTCGCAGACGCATCGTCTCCGTTCAACTGGTACTCGCCAAAGCATAAGCAGGAAGCTCAGGAACAGCACGACGAAACTGGCTAGTGTTAATTTCATGATCC